TTTTTCAAAAATTGATTTTTGATCAATGATTGGTTTATTTGTGCCTCTTGATATCTTAACAAAAACAGATGTAATTATCCTGTATGATTAAAATATTGCAAAAATGTTGGAGATACTGATTAAAAAAGTGCAGAAAGAAGAAGAAAATATATAATATTTGAAAGAGATTATAACACAAGAATAAGAAAAAAAAACAGATAACAGTAGAAAGAAAGAAGGAAGAAGTAATAAGAAAATTATTAGATAAAGTAATAAATATACAGAAAAGGCTAATGATAAATACGGGATAAAAGAAAGAGAATGGATGTTCTTAAATGAGAACTTTGAAAATAAAAGAGGATGGACAGAAAGAAGTAGAAAGAAATATCTGGACAGAAGAAGAAATTGAGTCATATTAGGAAAGATGTGAAAATTGTACATGCATACAAACAGAGATTAAAGAGATTTGAAGGGAACTGAATTAAAAAGTAAAGAATTTGATTACAAAATTATGAAAAAGAAAATACCGTGGAAACTAGGAAAGAGGAAATGTCATATTTAAGAATAAAAAAAGAGAGCTGAAGGAAAAATTAAGAAATATGAAAAAGAGGAAAATTAATTGAAAAGAATAGATTTGGAAAAGGAAGATGTATACAGTATGGTGAGGTAAAGGAACAAACTTGAAAAAGAAGAAAAAAGGGTAAAGTTGATAAGAATAGAGATATATAAATAAGTATATAAATCAAAAGAAAAGAGAGAGAGAGAATATAGATGAGAACATAGAAATAGATAGTTAAAGTAATCATTTCTGGGATAAGTTAGAGAAGACACAGGAGAAAGATGGATAATGGACAATAAAAACAAAAGGATGATAAAAGGAAAGAAAAAGACAAAAGAGAAGTAGAAAATATAATGAAAGAAAAAATAATAAAATGATTAAAGAAATTAAAATAAGGAAAGAAGTTGGGAGATAACGAAATAGAGAATGAGACATAAAGGTGCCGATAATAGAAAAAGTATTCCTGAAGTCACTATAAAGAAGATAGAGAAATTTTGAAAGTAAGGAATAAAGGACCAATAAATCCTAAGAAAGACGAGCAAAGCAATGTTAAAAAGTGTAGGAGAGTAAAGGCCTCCGCACAATGAAAAATATAAGGAACAAGGAACAGATATTAGCTTATTAGAAAAATAAGAAATCAGGAATAAAGTTGGTGTAGCATTAATACACGGCTTCCGATAGGTTTTTAGTACTAATGGATACTACTCCGTTTCCGGCGCTATCGTTGAGTGACACGTGTGTGAGTGACGAAAATCAAGCAAAGAAGAGTGTGAGAGAGTGTATGAAATAGCAGCGAGTGGGTGAAAGAGAGAAATAGAGGAGTGAGAGCGTGTGTGAACGGACACAGGTCAAAGGGAGAGGGTAGGGTTAGGTACAGGACAGAGAAAGTGGCGTAAGGGCAACGGTCAGGCAGGTAGGCACGGAATAAATCAGAAGAGAGGGACAAAGCGTATAGGCGGCGATGTCACGCGACATGCGTGGGGGCATAGATTAGTATATAGATATAGAAACAAAAAGAACGGTAAACATATTTAGGTATAGAACAGCTGGAGAGATAGATATTACCGAGGGAAAATGATGGAAAAAAAGGAAAAGCGGCAAGATTGATAGAATTAGAGGGAAGAGAACAGGGGAGAGAAGAGGATGTACATGCAACGTGGATTTAATAAAGAGAAAGAGAGGGGCGATAGAAAGAGGGGAAACAGAAGAATGGCTTTTCAGCAGGAGCAAAAAAATGCAAAGATCGCCGCAAAAAGAAGGCAAGGAAATTACAGAAGACGAAAGAAGTTGGATAGAAGAGATAAAGAATGAGGTAAAAGTTGAGATGAGAGAAGGGATAAAGGAGATGCAGGAGATAATGAGAGAACAGGGGAGGGAATTTAGACAAGAGCTAGAAGTTTTAAAAAGACTCATAAAAGAGAGAGAAGAAGAATGGATGAGAGAAAAAGAAGAGATGAAAGAGAGAATAATGGAAATGGAGAAGACGCTATTAAAAATAAAAGAGGAGGGAATAGGAAAAGAAGAGGATGTAAGAGAGAAGGGATTGGAAAAAAAGCTAAAGGAGATAGATAAGAAATTAGAAATGAGAGAGAGAGAAGAAAGAAGAAAAAACATAGTTATAAGAGGTACAAAGGAAAATAGGAACAAAGTAGAAAAAGAGGTTAAAGAAATTTTAAAGGAGGTAGAAATAAAGACGCAAGTGAATTGTAAGAAGGTCATTGAAGATGGCGGAGAGGGAGGTGTAAGAATGACAGTAATAGGTCTGCAGGGACTGGAACAGAAAAAAAGGGTCATGATAGAGAGAAGAAGACTAAGAGAAAGAGGGATAAGAATAGATGATGACCTGACATGGAAGGAGAGGAAGATGAGATAGAATTTAGAAGACATTGCAAGACAGGAGAGAGGAAAAGATAAGAGAGTAAAGGTAGGATATGGAAAAATTCAAATAGAAAGAAAATGGTGGAAGTGGGAGGAGGACGAAGAGATATTGCGAGACAGCGAAGGGAGAGTGTGGAAGAAGGAGGGGGAAGAATAAGAGAAACAGAGGATGGAAGCAATCCAGAAGGGGACGATGAAAGTAAAAAAGAGGATGAAGAAGAGAATGTATGAAAAAAGGACCAAGATGAGGATAAGGCTTATAGAGAGAGAGAGAAAAAAAGAAAGACAGGAAGGAGGAGGAGATATGGAAGGTGGCTTTCTGGAATGTGGCGGGTACAGCAAACAAGGATAAGGAGTTCTGGGAAGGGATAAAGGAATGGGAAGTGGTGATAATGATGGAGACATGATTGGATGAGAGGGGATGGGAGAGGATCTCAAGCGAATACAGATAGAGAGTGCAGATAGCGACCAGGAAGAACAAAAAGGAAGGGTGAGTGGAGGCATGTTATTAGAAATACGGAAAAGAATAGAAGAGGTAAAAGAAGAAAGAAGGTTGGAGGAAGAAAAAAGAAAAATCGAATGTAAGATAAGAGTAGGAAAAGAAAATTGGAGAATAATAGGAATATATGTAAATAATGATATAGACAGGAAACTGGAAGGCTTGAAAGATTGGACGGAAAAGGGAGAAAAGGAGGTAAGGACTATAATAGGTGGAGACTTTAATGCTAGAACGGGTGAGGAAGGAGGATGGGAAGAAGAGGAAGAGGGAAGAAAGGAAGGAGGAGGGAGAAGATCAAAAGACAAGAAAATAAATAGGGACGGTAAAAAACTATTGGAGTACATAGAGGAAAGAGGATGGATGATATTGAATGGAGGCGTGAAAGGAGATGAGGAAGGTGAATTTACATACACAGGAGGGAAAGGCGAAACAGTTATAGATTACGTTATAGGGGAGGAGGAAGTTGGAGAAAAAGTGGAGAGACTGGAAGTGGGAGAAAGAGTAGACTCAGATCATCATCCATTAATAGTATGGGTGAGAGATAAGCTTAAGAGAAAGCAGAAAAGGAAAGAGGGAGAAAGAGAAAAAAGGACAGGAACATGGAGCGAGGAGGAAAAAACGCAATTTAAAAAGAGGTTAGGGACGATAGGAGGAAAATGGGAACTACAAGAAGAAATAGAAGTAGGAATGTCAAAGGTAAGAAAAGTAATAGAGGAGAACGAAAATGAGGATGGAAGAATGGCTAACAAGAACAAAAGAGGGTGATGGGATGAAGAATGCAGGGAGAGAAAGAGAGAAGTGAGGAGAGAACTGAGAAAATAGAGGAAAGGTAAAGGAGAGGTGGAAAAGTATAGAAAAGGAAGGAGGGAGGGAGGGAGGGAGAGGGGGAGAGAGAGAGAGAGAGAGAGAGAGAGAGAGAGAGAGAGAGAGAGAATGAGAGAATGAGAGGGAGGTAAGCCTTAAAATAATAATTAAATTTATATTGTGCGCAACTTGTCTACGATAAAGATGATGATAGCGTGTTTATTCGTGATTTTGTTATTCTTTGCGATTAGATATTGCATATATAATTAAAGATAATGAACAAAAGGTAAAGAAAGAAACAGCGAAAGAAAGAGAGAAAGAGAGAAAAATAGAAAGAGAGGCAGGTAAGCCTTAAAATAATAATTAAACTTATATTGTGTGTAACTCGTCGATGATTAAGTTGGTGATAACATGTTTCTTCGTAATGATTTTTCTCCACGATTAGATGTGATGATAAAGTTAAAGATGACGAATAAGAAGTAAAGAAGGAGACAGAAAAAGAGAGGGAGAGGGAGAGAGAGAGAGAGAGAGAGAGGGAGAGGGAGGTAAGCCTTAAAATAATAATTAAACTTATATTGTACGTAATTCGTCGACGATGAAGATGGCGATAGCGTGTGTGTTCGTAATTTCTTCGTTCTCCATGATTGGATATGACAAAGTTAGATGACAACTAAAAGAAAAAGAAGAAAAGTCGAGAGAGACAGAGAGAAAGAAAAATAAAGAAACGGAAAGAACAAGAGAGAGAAAGAGAGGGGGGGCGGGGCCGGGGAGTTAAGAATTCACTTTCGTAATCAGAGATAAAAAACATGTTAAAAATTTTGTACATAAAAATTGTACGTATTTTTTTTTAGGTTTTTAATTAATTATTAAAAGTGTATTTATATCGTTGCAAAAAACATGAAATTAATTTAAATAAAGATTTTTCTGTACAAAGTCATTTGAAAGTCATGTTGTTATGTATATACCGTTAAATTTTTCTTAATGTGTTATTATTAAAGAGCAATAGCGTTGCAAATGTTGTTTTGTGTAATGATATACAAAAAAAGCTAAATAGCGCGCGCGTAGCGCGCGCTTGTATTGTTCTAGTATATTAAAAAGTAAGAAAAGAAAGAGATACCACACCTTCCTAAATTGATGAATCTGTAATCTTTTATAACTAGATTAAAAGATCATGTTGTTACATGCTTCTGATATCCGAACTGATAGAAATTCAATTTTAGTACTTAATATATAATACAAACGTTATAAAGTTACAACGTTATACGTTGAGTGCGGTTGAACATGAGAGTGAGTTTGTCGATCATCTCTACGGCGTTCTTGGTGGCGTTGTCCATGGCCGTCATACGGCTGGACTGCTCACTGCAGGCGCCTTCCTTCATCGAGGCGAGCGAGAATTCCAGATAGCTCTATATTACTTCTTCGTCAAGTGAATCATACACCGACAGCTTCGGTACAGTAACCATTCTTATCGAACAATGGTAGATCATCAATCACGTACGATACCACGGACTTGAACTTGTTATATACTATGCGTCCAGAGCCGAAGGAATAACTGTAAAAGAGTAGCCATTATTTATATTATTTATACGACGTTAAAAAAGAATCTACAACTTATATATTCAAAAAAATTTATAGTGAAAAAATTTATAGTGAATAATCTCAGCTAATACTGCAAATAAACTATTTAAATTGTATAATTAGTTGCGTTGTGCTATCTGGGATACCTTTAATTTTTCTTCAAGACATCAATTAACTGACCCATGCGAGCATCCATAGACTCGATACTCTTCCGTGCAATTTCAAGTTGCTCCTCGCGCTGTTTCTGCTTCTCGGCATCAGTGGTTCTTCGATATTCCATCGACTCCACCCTCCACTCTCCAATTTCATCGAGAACGTTGGATTTACTTTTCTTCTTCTTTTTCTCAGGTTCTTCTTTACAGTCTACATCCGTGCACATTTTATCCAGAACGGGACGCCTGTTGGAGGCCAGTGCAACGGGCTTGACGCATGGCTTTTTGCCTAAAATTTCATCTAATTCTTCATAAAATGGGCATGTCTTGGCCTTTGCACCGGACTGCATATTGTTGTCTTTGGTTTCAGTGTATTTTTGCTTTAACTCTCATTTTATTTTTAACTGATCTAAAGAATAATGTGTCTTTTTAAGTGTATTTAGTTCCTCGGCAACTATTTTCCATACATCATCGTTTTTCATTAAAGTGTTTGCGAACAATTCTTGATTCGCAGACCAGAAGTGTATGAGGTTTCTTACAACCAACTGATCTGTCCATATTGCAACTGCAAAACAAAAATGTTATCAGTAAATGCAACATGACAAAATATATGTTTTAATTGATATAATATAGGTAGTAATAATGATAGCAATAAACTGATTTTCACCATTTGAAGCAGTTTGGGTTTTGCTTTTCTTCGGTTGTGAATTGCCTTCAGGTGGAAGAACAGTAGATAAAGTCGAAGGTTGAACAATAGCAGCTTGTTGATTATCCTCATTTTCTTTTGAGTTGTCGAGAAAAGGACTGTGCTCACAGTCAGTTGTACTGCTCATGCAGGCCTCTGTATCAGGCAGGCAGACCTCGATCAAACTCTGATCTAATGTAACAAAACATTGTATTATATATTGTATGATATATTTCTTAATATTTATATGTACCTTGTAGATTTATAGCAATGTTATATCCTCTAACGCTCCGCATCATGTTCCCTGCTACGTCTCTGAGATACACATGCAGGCTTGGATTAAAAACGGGAATCGTAGACATATTTTTTTATGCGTCACAAATGCACGCTGATACAATTGTCGTTTAATACTAATTGTGTTTTGTTAAAACAATGGTTAAGATAGAATCAGAAGTATCAAACAATAGTGTTTAGTAAAAACCGAGAGATGGCGCCATTCGTTTGGGTGAAAAAGGTATAGTCTGGAAGATGTTGTTACAAAAGAAGAAATAAAACTGCCCATTTTAATTGTAAAATTAATTACTCTATAAAATGAACAATTAATTCGTAATTAATTAATCAGTTTGGAAATTGCAGTCTAAGTCTCATTATTTTCAGACTATTCTGTAATAATAATAATAATAATAATAATAACAAAATGATTTAATTACCTTCGAAATGCAGACTCTACACTCGTGAACATGCACCGCATTTCGCAGAATGTGGAAGGCGAAGTGCATCTTGTGATTATCGAAAATTTGACCGGCCCTTTCAATTTCTTTGCACGTTACTTGTATGATGACATGTATCAGCGCGAGCGTATTTGGCGTTTTCCTTAATCCATTTCCCGGTAATATCGTCGTTAATGTTAAAGACTGTGCGGCTAAAAAATTACAACGCAATTTAAAAAGATTGCATATTATATATGTTCAACAGTAGAGAAATCGTATACTCTTCTCAAAGTTATTAATCATAATTAAATAAAGTGTAGGTTTTTAAACGTAATCTTACCAACGTTACATTTTGTTGTGAATGTCGCTAGCAATTTTAAAGCAGACGTTGACACTGTTTTATTTAACGCTATTCAGGCCCATAACTTGTGCACCACGTCCGCTAAGCCCTCTTTCGTCAGGGTTTCTTTAACACGTACATCTCTGCACATGAAGTTCATCAGAGGTATGAAGGTACAATTCACATCGTGCAACAAAGGATGAGTCTGTGCAATAAAAATAAGATAGGTTTTTACAAATTCATACAGGAAATTATGATCGAAATTCCATGTATTAAAGTCTTTCCCTGCCTTTTTCTCCGCTTGCTTTTTGTAAAGCTCAAACGGTTGAAGATTCAGCTCAACATACAATTCTTTTAGGATCATTAACGCGGTCTCGGGAAGATTACCCCGTATGCCGCTCGCTTTGCCTTCTTCGACACGTATAGTAAATTAGTAAGGGCACCTACAATAAGATCTTTATCCTCCGATTGTTTGCTGCTTTTTTTGGATTTCGTGTAACTATGAGCGATGAAAAGATGCAGTAACAGTTCACATAATTCGCCTCTTATGGTAGTTTGTCCTTGATCTGGTAGCTGATCGTCTTTCGTACGCAAATCTTTCTCGCTCTCGTTTGATTTTCTTGAATGCACATTCGCGTCTCTTATTGATAATTTGTTGACGTTCGATATATCTCGCAAACCACTATCTTTGCTTTCGATCGAGACATGTGCCACATTAGTATTGAGCACGGTTTGTAATAGAAAGGTACCGCTTCTTCCCAAGAAATCTTTTTGAATCTCGTGGGACAGTAGAAAAGCTAAGGCACTAATGGCGCTCATTCTCAGATCAGTCGTAGAGTCCTTTATCGCAAGACAAATGGAAGCCAGGACCGTTTCAGGCCCGCACAATTATAACGCGCTTTGAATGGCTTCTTGAATGGGAAAATGTTGATCCTCCGTTAACGAAAGCACAGCCACGAAGATGTAGATTTCCGTCCAAAGTCTGTTACGCAGGTATATCAGGTGCAGTTCGGCAGACTCTAAGGAGATTAATATATGGAACGTTGTTTAAAAATCAAATTATACATTTTGTGACGAATAAATGTTCAAATACATACGGTATAAATCGATATTTAAGAAGCAAAATAGAATATAAAGCGAGTCCGGAGAAAAGAGTACGACGGCTGCGTACTTGTTGCTATGCGTGATGCAATTTGTTAAAACTGTGCAGATGCTGATGTACATTTCCAGCGTATCAGAATAATGACTCAGACTCTTCCTTCCTGCTCCTGATATCCTTCGAAATCTTAATCAAACACCTTAAAACGAGAGATCAAATGAGACAATATAGGTGAAAAAAAAGATAATCCAGCGTTATAGATTTTTCTACATACATACATACCCGAATAAATACTTATATATCGATGGAATATTCGTAGACTTGTCGTACAACCTGGTGTTGTCCGACAAATATTAAATTATTCAATAAATTACAAGCAGCTGTAATAAGCGAAGGCGTCGCTACTGATTGCAAAGGATTGTCCACATCTGTTATTTCCGAAACTCTGCCGGAAACTGTAAGAGAAATAAAGAATTTAAAAAAATATAATTAAAAATAAAAATTATAGTATATAACTAAATAATATAATTACAGAGTTGTAATTCATTCTGACAGTTGTATAAGTGCGATACGGTGCGCGGTACCAATGAAGTGCAACTAGATTACAAATTTGCCGTTGTTTCCTTGACATTCCGACTCTTCCGCATCTAAAGTAGTCGACGTATAGATATTTGAACACAGAACGCTGATTTCATGATAGATGTTGCATTGCTCGGCATGTATCAGGATAGCTTGTGGTTGTAAAGAATCATCCTGTATAAAAATATAATTTTCTAAAGTATGTACATAGCTTCAATTTGTATTTCAGCAATTTAGAAACGTAAGAAAATATGAGTATCGTTTATATAATATTAATTAAGATAGAGAAATTTAACACATTTTAAGACTAATGCTTTCTCGACGTTTACGATTTAATAATATATCGTGCTCTCACACTTACACAAAGTGAAAAGTCATAGAGTTGCAGTTTTTGAGGATGTTGCAAAACGCGATACACGCTTGTTCTCTCACTAAACAAAATTCGTCCCTGCTTGTGATGTACTGAAGAAGCAACTTCTGTAGTGGCTTTGGCATATCAGATAAGAAAAGTCATTGACGAGGTATTTTGTGACAATGACGATGACGACGA